AGTGTGTCCTGTACTGTACTGTGTGTGTTTACCAGTGTGTCCTGTACTGTGTGTGTCTAACAGTGTGTACTGTACCATGTGTGTGTCCCGCAGGTGCTGTACAAGGACATAAAGAAACAGTATGACAGCTTCCACTGGACGGCCGATCACAAGGGCATCCACTCTTTCTGTTTCTCCAACGAGTTCTCCACCTTCACACACAAGATTGTCTACTTTGACCTTGAGGTCGGTGACGAGAGGCCCGCTGTCGAGGAAATGTCCGACCATCAGACGGCCATGACACTGGTATGTACATAGATAGATAGATCGTCATATGACCTTGACATTGGTACGTACATAGATTGATAGACCATCAGACAGTCATGACACTAGTACGTACATAGATAGACCATCATATGACCTTGACACTAGTACATACATATATAGACCATCATATGACCTTGACACTGGTACGTACGTATAGATATATCATCAGACGACCTTGACACTGGTACGTACATAGATAAATCATCAGACGACCTTGACTCTGGTACGTACATACAGACTTCAATAGAAGTTAAGGACCACCTTGACAGACAGCCCTGGTTTTTAAAAAATCCAGAGAAAAAACCCAGCAAAAAATGTTTCAAAATTTGTTGCTGTGGAAGTGTTGCTGGGTTACCAACGCGTACTGCAAAGTTTCCTAAAGGGACAAAACCACCACGTGCAGCACAGAATTTCTCGGAGAATTTTAGCCAAAGTTGCTGTTTCTTATCGACTTGGATATTCCTCAGTTTAAATTTCTGGTGCACGTCATAAACGGACGTACGGTCTCGAACTGTGCTCACTTTGGTGGCAATATAAGCCACCATTTGCGCAAAATCCAATATCATATCAATATGCCACCGAGACGAAAGGTGAGAGACTTTGATCGTGCCAGAGCTATGGCATGGCTGCAGGATGGCGTTGGAGCCCGAGAAGTTGCCAGAAGACTTGCAGTGTCACACTCTGTCATTGTCCGCCTGAGGCAGCGCCATCAAGCCACTGGATCAGTCCAAGAACGCCCACGTGAAGGTCGACCCAAGAAGACCACTCACAGTGTTTGCAAGTGGTCCTTAACTTCTGTTGAAGTCTGTAGATAGATAGATTGGTAAATAGATAGATAGATAGATCCTGAGAGGGATTTGACACTGGTAGATAGATAGATAGACAGATATGTAGATAGATAGATAAATAGATCCTGAGTCCTGAGAGGGATTTGACACTGGTAGATAGAATGATAGATATATAGATAAATAGATCCTGAGAGGGATTTGACACTGGTAGATAGATAGACAGATAAATAGATAAATAGATCCTGAGGGGGATTTGACACTGGTATATTACACACAGGCTTAGATTGATTGACAGATAGAAATGTGTCTATCCAGATTGTGTATTCAACTGTGTGTTAAGATTGTGTGTCGAAGATTGTGTATTCAACAGTGTGTTAAGATTGTGTGTCGAAGAATGTGTATTCAACAGTGTGTTAAGATTGTGTGTCGAAGAATGTGTATTCAACTATGTGTCTGTGTGTTAAGATTGTGTGTCTAACAGTGTGTCTGTGTGTTAAGATTGTATGTCTGTGTGTTAAGATTGTGTGTCTAACAGTGTGTCTATGTGTGTGTGTCTATTGTGTGTGTCTAACAGTGTGTCCTGTATTGTGTGTGTCTAACAGTGTGTCCTGTATTGTGTGTGTGTACAGAACATGTGTGTGTCTATGTGTGTGTGTGTCTATTTGTGTGTGTCTGTCTAACAGTGTGTCTATGTGTGTGTGTGTGTCCAGAACTTGTGTGTCTAAAAGTGTTTTTATTTGCGTGTGAGTGTGTCTAACCGTGTGTCAATTTGTGTGGGTGTGTCTAACCGTGGGTCTATTTGTGTGAGTGTGTCTAACCGTGTGTCTATTTGTGTGTGTGTGTCAAACCGTGTGTCTTTGTGTGTGTGTGTCTAACCGTGTGTCTATTTGTGTGTGTGTGTCTAACCGTGTGTCTATTTGTGTGTGTGTGTCTAACCGTGTGTCTATTTGTGTGTGTGTGTCT